CTGCCTTGCCTTGCCTTGCCTTGCCTTTGCCTTGCCTTGCCTTGCCTGTTGCCTTGCCTTGCCTTGCCTTGCCTTAGTGCCTGCTTCGCCGCTCTGCCTTGCCTTGCTCCTTGCCTTGCCTTGCCTCTCTTGCCTTGCCTTGCCTTGCCTTGCCTTGCCTTGCTTGCTTGCCTTGCTCTTGCCTTGCCTTGCCTTGCCTTGCCTTGCCTTGCCTATGTCTTGCCTTGCCTTGGCCTTGCCTTGCCTTGCCTTGCCTTGCCTTGCGTGCTTGCCTTGCTTGCCTTTGCCTTGCCTTGCCTCCTTGCTGCCTTGCCTTGCTTGCCTTGCCTTGCCTTGCCTTGCCTTTGCCTTGCTGCCTTGCCTTGCCTTGCCTTGCCTTTGCCTTGCCTTGCACTTGCCTTGCCTTGCCTGCCTTAAGCCTTGCCTTGCCTTACCTTGTCTGCCTTTCGCCTTGCTCCTTGCTGCCTTGCTTGCCTTGCCTTCTGCCTTGCCTTGCCTTGCCTCCTTGCCTTGCCTGCCTTGCCTTGCCATTGCCTTGCGCTTGCCTGCCTTGCCTTGCCTTGCCTTGCCTTGCCTTGCCTTGCCTTCAGCCGTGTCTAAAAGGGATCTTTCTACATCCATCCTTTGTTGATGTCTTCGTTTAGTATATAATCTAATTTTGTCACACGTCAGCTCCTTCTCTAGAAGTTGTTTTCAAGGGACATCTGCGTGGCTCTATCTTATTTAATTCCCACGTTTCTGCTGGGTAAGTACATATGCTCTCTACTCTTGTTTTATAAATAATGCGTTTAGTGTTTTTGTAGTGATTTTTGTACTTAAAAGTAGAGCGTTTGATAGCCAGATCACTTTTGCCATGTCCTATTTTATTAGAGTTAGTCAGCACTTCTAACATTTGAGAAAAAGATCTGAGTATTTGATTTGCATTGCTTGATATTCTCAGTTACTGTGTCGAGGTCCTCATGTCCTTTAACACCTCCTAGTGACGACCAGAAAGTGTGTGTGCGGGGGGGTGGGGACTTGCCCCAGGCCCAGACGTGATTAGATTATTAGATTTTATGTTCATTCAAAACAAATACAAAATATATTTACCTCTAATCCAAATTCATACTGCAAGTTATTTCTCATGCATGCAGAATTGAATTGGGAAAGAAGGGAATTGTTTGTTTGAAATGAGGAGCCCCCGTCGATCAACTGCTCCAGGCCCCTAGTTTTCTCAGGGCGCCCCTGCCTCCTACCATATATTTTGTCTTTTGGGTGTTAATAGTCAGGCCCCAATTTTCTTACTCTTCTTGATGGTTATGGATCATGTAGCTTGTGTCATCTTCACGTGCTATGAGAACCTGATCATCGCCGAAGAGTAATATATGAAGTATACTGTCACTTACGGGTATTCCCATTCTATATCATTCCATTTCCACATTTTGAAGACCTCAAGATATATTTTAAATAGCGAGGGAGGTAGTGAACATTTTTGTGTAGGCCTTTGTTCACTAACAATTTGTGAGAAAGTCGTTTCCCGATTGTGATTGAACTGTAATTTTCAGTGTATAAAACTTAAACAGCATCAGCGATACTGGTTTTCTTCATGGCTGGCCATAATATATTTAATGGCGCTGTATTGTATGCCTTCTAAAAATCCACAAATACATGGATCATTCATCATTCATCATGGAATTCCCTTTCATCATCATGTACATTCTGGTCATAATAATTGATGGTCGCTGACGTAATCCAACAACATTGTCAATATATTAAAAAACCTTTTTTTCATTAATTGAGACATCATCATTGGGGTACACAGCAACTAATACAACTATGTAGTTATATATTTTAATCTCTACTTCAGGATTATATCGTTGATCTGATCCCAAGACTTAATGAACTGTTTTACTTACAATGATACGCCACCGTGGGATACCGCCTTGTAGTAGCACTGTCCACACGGGCGGGGAGGCTTGTGTGCTCCTATGAAATCAGGGGCTATGTCGGCGGTAGCATAGCAACAGGTAGGGTCTCCCTAGCAGGATTGGCTGTGATGGAGAGTCTGACGAAGGTATCCGTCAACGCCCCATCAGGCCACTCAGGCATATCTCCATTCCTTTATGTTTCCCTTTTCCTTACTTACCCTGCTCCTTAATTCATCCCTCCCTTCTCTAGGGGTAAGGGTGTGAAGGAAGCCAGCCTGTCTAGGGGAAGGTAACCCAGAAGAAGAAATCTCCGGTCCTCCAGGTCAGGGCAAAGGGCCAGTATCCCTATCCCCGTTAACAGATGCTGGATTGCTAAACGTTCCAGAAAAAATATTACCAGAATGTCCAAGAAACGACCATGCAAATGGAAGCGGTTTATGTATATAGGAATATGAAACGTACGGGATCTTCATCTGAAAAAAGTAGAAGTATTTCAAAATCTAAGTAAATGAGATATGGAAATAGTTTTCTTGTCAGAGACGAAAAAAGGGTCAAGGGGGGATTAAGGAAGTTGAAGACTACATTCATATATTTAGTGCTCGTCAGCTTTGACTCACTTGTATTTGTAACTTGTTTGTAACAAGAAATTATTATTAAATCATTAAATTATAATAATTTATTTCTAAAATACATATGATTTTAAAAAAAATGTATCATTACTTGTTTTTATCATCATCCATAACGGAAATAATTTATAAGCATGACCTGAAAAAAATTAGACTGGAAAACATGAAAAAGTCAAAGAATTTCAAAATCTAGAAAGTGTACGAACCCTTGATGAAAGTGTATGAACCTCTATAGGTGCTGTAAATCACGAAAACGCATGCCAGTTGCTTAAAAGAACATCTTTCTTGAAGAATATTTTAGAATTCCCTGGGGGTGGGATTTCCACCAGGGACCAGGATGCATCAAATGGCACCTCATTTTTCTCGAATGGTGGACTGGACGAGAACTAACTGTAAAGGGATACTTGATTACTATACAAGGATGTATAGTTCATATTTTTGTTAAATTTATCATTAAAAAGCATTTAAAACAATGTCTGATATACATTCTGTCCACGGTTTCTTGAGCTCTGGAATCTCTGCCGTAACTCGTATACTGTGACCAATCACATAGTGCGGCTCATGTTGAGGCAGGCACCATGACATTGAAATGGCCTAGAGGTGGACAACGCCACCGAGGCTAGTGAGTTGTGAAGTCACGCCGGCTACTGACTCCAAAGGGAAAACATTGACAGTCGGGTGGGGTGGCGAGTGCGTGCGTGGAGAAGGGGGGGATTCGGCTAATGAGATACGGAGTGAACGGGCGGCGGTGTGTGAGGCTGGGAGACTGAGCCCAGGAGTGAGGCGGCGAGGCAGAGGCCACGCGAGGAAGCTGGTCCCTTCCCTGCAACGCGACCTTATGCGGGAGGAGGTAAAAAGTTTTTCCAGATTCTGCAACGGAGCAGAATGCTCGGCCAGGTATCACACGGCCGCGCGGAACGACTGCCCTGCTTTCGGGAATTGGACTTGTGCACACATCCAATGATTGGTGAAGACATGTGTGTGATCCGTGGTTAAAATACTATGACTAACTGAATTGTTGTAGAAACTAGAAAACGTGTCTAAGAGGTGACGAAGGATAATGTTTACTGGAATTTGTTAATTTGGGAGATTATTTGAGATTTCATATATTTGCCCTCTTGATGAAAGCCAAACAATGAAACTTTATGATAAAAGCGAAACACAATTATAATTTCTCGTTGCTCAATAAATTCAAAATATTCACGTTTTCCTTACTCAGATCTGCGTGGAAACCTAATGTATTTGCATAAGCAACCTTGGCTTCCGTGAATATCGGAGCAAAGTTGCTTCTTTGTTCGCTATCATTGTTTAAATAGATGTTATCTACTTTTCAGTTGGTAAGTATTTGTTTAAATTGTACATATACATTCTGAAGTATTATCTAAATAACTTGCTGAAATCAGTTTCTGCAAATCTTATGGGTGTAGAAAGGTGACAAGAACTCATCACTTCACAACACTTCTTTGCTTGTAAAATTAAAATTCATTTGGTATTTATTATTGAGTAATGTTAGGTTGCTCTTTGCCTTAGCATTTATCTATAGTTGCAAAGTATCACAAGTAAAGGTGGACTTGAATACTATATATGTAAGGGGTAATATGTGCAACTTCCTTACTTGCATTATAAAATCCATATGATAATTCATTGCTATGTGAGGTTGTCACTGTTGGTCATCGCTTTATTTATAGCTTAAAGAGGATCACAAGTATAGATGAACCTGATTACCATCAACGTAATTTGTAACATGCGTTTTTTTTAAATTTCGTTCATAAAACCCCGGTCATTCTCTTTTGGTGCTCACCTTCTCTACAAAGTTTTTTCATGCGTTCTAGAAACGTGTGATCTCGGGGATAGAGAATGGTCTCAATACACATTTACTTGAATTATGAATACTGGTAGTTATGAGTGTTTTTGGCAACAATTGATTAGAAAAGATTCATTCCCGTGTGATAAACTTGTAGCTAACTTGGCTATGCAAATAGTTTTTGAGCTATTAGCCCTTCGGAATCGTGAAGGGATCGATTTACTGCTTCGAGAACATTCAAAACGATTATTGGAATACAAACATTCCCCACTGAGCTCAAGAAATCGTGCAGAGGGTTAAAACGTTTATGAAGGGCTTGGAGCAGTAACAAAATTAGGCACACTTCGACCAAAATCGAGATATTAACATTACGAATAGTGGGAGGTTTGCTGTGGCTGAAGTGGCTGAACTTGTTACTGCCCAGGCCCTTCTAAAATACTTTGTATTGTTTTGTTCAATACAGTATAATGACTCGATAACGAATTTTATTTTATAAAACAGGTGATAATGATTTGGAATTCTACACTAGTTACATCCCTTTGAAATACGCATTATTTATAAAATTTTACATTATCTGGGTTTTTAATTAATGAAATAATGGGCCAAAGTTCAAATAATTAATACCTGTTGTCCTGTATTAATAGTCCGATGTGTTTTTCTCAGATTCGATACCTTATCAGTTCCAGTCTCCATGCACACAGCCATATTCACAAACTGTTTCCATTCATGGTCAGGAAACAACTGTGAAAAAAACCTTTGCCCGAAAGAAAAACAATTTTGATTCTCCAGGTTTGTATTTTCTTTTGCTTATAAAAAACATTGTGAAATACACGTATGTATGAATTACTCATAGTTTTTAATTTCTTTAGATGGTAATAGATCATGTAAGAACAAAAGAAGTTATGCTGTAGCAAAAGCAAAGAAACTAGTTCAACCTATTCCTTTGGATGTTGCTGGAAGACCTGTTTTCCCGATAATATTGGGTGGTCCAACAGTACATAGTTTGGGTGAGGTGAGTTTGTGGATTACGTTATTTATCAGTTCTTTATAATGTTAATTTATTTTGTGATAGGTTATAAAAAAAATTATTGGTGTATATCTATCCGGAGGGAGGGAGGTTAATTTTCGCACTTACATAGTTATAATTTTCACCTGAGCTGTTACAAGTATACTGCAAAATTGGGTAAAATAGATCAAAATTTGTTATTTTCTTTCAAAATGAGGAACTTCAAAATTGAAAAGTATTTGCAAAAAATTGTCTGCTATGATGGTTCAGATACCACTAATTTTATTATTTTACAATGAATGGTTTCAAATAAAAATTATGAAATTTTCAAGTTTTAATCCCATTGTTTGGGGGTGAAGTGGATTGCCTATGGGTCATTCCACGTAAAATTTGACAGACCAAAAATTCAAGTGTTCCAAATTCTCTAAGACTTTTTTATATTGCCTATTGTGAAAAGCAAAAGACACATTTTTTTGTTTAGCCGAGAAAATAATATTTTTTAAGTTACAATTATTGAAAGATAATAATTTTTCTCCAATGTCGAGATGTTGAATCATTTTTAGCTCCAAATGTATTGTTTGTAAAAATGTATACTTGATCTCAAATTAAAACTTAAGAAGAAATCTCTCAGTGAATGTTCATAAATATTTGCAATTCTTATAATGTATGTTTTAATTGTTTTTGATTTTTAAAACAGTTTTTTAAGGTAATCCCCATGATTTTTTGTTTCAATCCTGACGGCAACAATTCTTTAGACTTTCATCTTCATTTCTGCAAACTTTGAAATTGGCTTATGTTTTAGAACTATCGTAAAAACTAATATTCAACGGAGCACAGAGTATTTTCTCGGGCACCGCGGCGCGCCGGTGACATACTGATCTGTCAATGCTCGCTGTTGCTCGCCTGTGGCTCCCCCCCCCCCCCCCCCGGGGTTGCGGCCTAGCCACATCACTGCCCACGACCGCCCTGTCATCGATGCGGAGGCACGTCGTTTTTCCACCAAGGGCAATGACAGAAAAGTCGACCGAACACAATACAAACACTGGGATATATTTACATCCAAGAGTGTCTTATTGTGGAGCGAACAGAGGGGCACTTCCACTGTAGCCAGTGACACAGTGAAATACGGTATATCCTCGTTTGATGACGTGTGTGTGTGTGCCCGAGCGACAGTGAGTGTGTGTGTGTGTGTCCTGGCGTGGTCCGTGGCGGGACCGTGCGCTTTTTCTTGTGAGGAGTAGTGGCAACCTTAAGAAGATGCGTTAGGTACAAAGAAGTATGCTTTGATTCCATGTTTCAATCCTTTCAATCTAGAAAAATTAATGAGAGAACAGAATTTTAAAAAATTGTGGACGTGTAAACACAAAGGCCCTTCTGAAGTTGGGCATTGCAATACATACAAATTTACGCCGACTCGCGTTAATTCGTAACATGCAGTGAATTATTTCAAACTGAAAGTAAAATTCCAAAAGGAACTCGTTAAACATTTTGCAGCAAAACATGGCTACAAGGTCAACAGAGTAGAAAATTTACAAGGACGGTTAATTCGGAATTGAACATTGAAAATTGAGAGATGATGGTGGTTGTATCTCCAAGTGAAGCAGACGTTTCGTTAGCCAAGAGTGTAAAAATTGAAATCTGAATGAAAGTTTAACAAAGGTTGGCGGTGAAACGCTCCTATAAGGAAAAAGAAACTTGAGTCAGTAAAGCATATCCTCGTCGAAAAAGGGAGGAAAAATAGACGTACCTTAGAGACAAATATTGATTTAGAGAGGTAGACGATGAAAAATAAGAAAATGGAGAATACATCATAGAAAAATTTGAATTAATATATTTACGAAACTACTGATGATAAAAGTATAAATTTAAACGATTTTTAAAAGTGGTCTTTTCTAAAATCAAAACAAAAACAAAAAACAATGCATCTTACTCACATGATAACTGGCTTACAAAACAGCTAGCATGCAAGTAGAATAATGTCAAAACTCCACATGTGAAATCACAGAAAACTATTGGACAATTCTGTACACCAAATGTTGTAATGGATTTTTATTGTTTAGATGATGTTAGTGGTATCATGAGTTGAAAAGATAATTTTATTTAGTGAGAGGAATGGTGGAAAGGTACACAAACTAAGAGGCTTATTCTGAGTAACCTGAAAGAAACATACCGACATATTGAAAGGCAAGTTTCCGCATCAAAGGTCGGCTCTTTCAAAGTGCTTCTGAATTAAGACCAAAACACTGCATTTCACCAGGAGCTAACGGCACACGTACAGTATGTTTGTGCATGGCACGGAACGTTAAGTTAATGTTGACGGGAGGAGGGCCTTGCCAAAGTTAACAGCATATGATGTTAATGCCTTGAAAGTATTATCGAGACTTTCTAAAAAAGTTATTTGTGACCCTCCAAGAATTGAAAGTGTTACTGTAAAAAGTGTTGATGAAATTGCCCTGGAATGACTTAAAATGTTACAGAAAAGGCTTGCAGAGAAATGATTGACAGATGTGATGTGTATCAGCAATGAACTCATGTTGAGAGAAAGTATTTTGGATATTTTTGTGTTCATCTGTGGATGATCTTATTTTCAAGTCAAAATTAAGAAGCTTTAACAATTCACGGCATTTCTATCACAGCAACAAGCCTCGTTCTATAACTCAGTCCCAAAGATAATTAGCTGCATGGAGAAATATTAATTTCTATTGCTGATTTTCAAGAAAATTATTCCTCATAGTCACGATTCCGTAACAAGGTGTGCCACTGCGAATAATGATCAGCAACTATTAACACTGTTTCTATTGCTTAATACAGAGAAAAATTGGCATTGTGATTCATACAAATTTTGGTTACCAATTCAGAGTACCTTCAGAGAGACCACAACATGCAGTACATCATTTTCAAAGAAAATGTTATTAAATTTTTTGAAGACATGATCAAATTAACACAGAAAAAAAATACTATATTTCTCTGATGGGTGCTAGTACTCAGTAACCATGCTGGTTACTAGAGCTAGCTGTAACCAGACGTGTTTTGCCGTTTTCACATTTTTTGACCATGTGAACAATTCATGGAGATCTACGCTGCTTAGGCGAGATTCCACGGAGGATGGGAAAAAGTGTTTTCCCGAAAGTTAACTCTGGGCAAGATTATTTAAAAACTTCTGTGGTGATTATTTACTTTCCATATTATGTTTTGGAATATTAACTAGAACTATTAAAACTCATTGCTCAGCTGAACATTGCACTCATCTTCCTGTTGTAAAAAGCTTATTCCCCACCCGCTCCGTGTTTTAATCAATACTGCACATACTACGACGTGCATATGAGGTTCTCACTGCCCACTGTGTATGACGGTAAGATTCATAAATAATTCGCAATGTTATTTTATCAGAAGGCTTAATTTGAAACTTCGCAGACCTTTAGAGGAAAGTATGAAATTTCTTTTCATTTTGTTTTCAAATATTAATTCAATTGCAAAATAATAAATTTATAGATTTTAAAATATATACACAAAATTTTAACATTTTAAAATGTTAATATAATAAGAATAAATTTAAAGAAAGGCATAGAGTTAAGTTTTCATTTAAGACAACATGAACATTTTAAAAAAAAGAAATTTGAGATATAAAATTTGGCATATCAGATCATACGGAATTAAAGACATTTTAAAAATGAAATGAAAATATCAAATTTTGAGCTGAAACTAAAAAACCACGTGGAGGGTGTATTCATGAAATGGTAAAAAAAATATCAGGGAAGATATGAGACATCAAGCGTCAAATTTTTCTTTCAAAATTCCTCTAATTTTGCATGGATGACCCCTATATGTGTTTAATGAAAACCATTTTAACCCTACTTCAAGCGGGGAAATGGTTCGCTGTAAGGCTTTTAAAAAAACGTAATGGAACAACAATTGAGGAAAAATACCTTTAATTAAAAACTATTAAAACTTACCATTAAATGTGTTTTATTCAAAGACAGGTGTTACTGGAACCCAAACCAAGAACTTTACAATCGAATGACTATACTTCAATACTCTTTATTCTATTGTGTCCCATGTTATGTCTGATTGTAGACATACATATCGGCCCCTCATCAGAGAAACATTTGCTAACAAAATAGTATGAAATGTCTCTTGCAACAGGATTCAGAGAGTTGCATTCCTATGAAGCTCCCTTTGGTCCTTCTGCAAAAAATGTAACCAACAGCAGTTTCTTCTGCTTCTATAAATTTTCCTACAAAGTTTTATTTTTTTCATTAAACTTTGTTTGAGGTAATGATTGTCTCTGTAAGATTTCTGAAGCTTCATCTCCATGGCATTTCCATGGATCCGCCATCTATTTGCTTTTTCTTTCAATTTTGTAGAGTCTTCGCATTGGACACCTTCTGGTACAATTTCGAACATTTACCAGGTATATCAGAGCTTTCCACAGTGTTCACATGCTCTGGATTGGTCGTGTACTAGGCGACTCTTTTTAAAAACTGCAACATAAGAGCTATTCGGTTAGAAGAGATTGCAGAAGAAAAAAATTCTTAATTGGGTTTTATATAATAAAGAACAGAAGCTGGGTGGAATTTTACAAGTATGTAAAAAGACGGCCAAGGAAACATATTACAACTGCATTCAAAAAAGACTGGAGATCATTTGCAATGCTATGGAGGAAAGCAAACTCACTTACGGAGTTTATCACGTTACTCTCTAGTCTTGCCTGAACGAAAATTGTAGAAAGTTGTAGAAGTAATTTGGAACGGCCCTTGTTAAAAAATGAAGAATTGAGTATAAAGTATATTATTCCTGTATTTTGCTGTCAATTGTGTAAAAACAAAATATTTTTTAAATACGTATTAAAAAGTATAGCTAAGAAGCTAATTTGGCTCGAAATGCCAACATGGGAAATACTAAACTTAACTGGGAATAATGTACACTTTATATATGACTCCAATTTTCTCTTCAAAAATTTCAGTTATCCTTATTTTAAGTAGGACATTTCTTTTCATGTGTATTAT